TCTATCATGGATTACCAAAAAAAAAAAAAAAAATTCCGTACGGAATCGCCGATTCACTGTTCGGACTCGCCGATTCCATACAGTGAATCGGCGATTCACTGTACGAAATCGTCCGGTTCTCTCTAGAACCGGACGATTTTCAATTTTTGGGCGATCCGATTCCTTTTTCACTATTTCCGAGTCGAACCGGGCGAGTCCGGTTCGACTCGACGTTTTTTAAAACGCTGTTTTCTGCATAATCATGAGTCTGTTGACAAGATATGTCCTCGTAAAGTAGCAGTCATCACCGTGTCTGCAAAGTAATACCTCCTAATGTAGCAACGTGCATGACGAAATCGAAGACATAAGTTCATTCAATTAAACTCGTTGTTTGCAAAATCATTCGATTTAACAGCTAGCTGTTCGTTTAAATTGTAATTGATGGCCTGTTTCGATTTTGAGTAGTTACGATGGTTAGTCGGTATTTTAAAAATAAAAATTTTAAAAAATATATATATAAATTTTAAAAATTAAAATTTTAATTTATAAATACTTTTTACTTTATTATAAAACTTAAAAATTATTTTGATCTTTAATGCTTACTTTTTATTGGTATCCAACCCGGACTTGTCGGATCAAATCGGTTGAATCCGCCGATTTATCGGTTATATCGGTTAAACCGCTCTCCGACTCAGTCCGGTTAACGGTTCGGGTCTTCGGGATGAACTACCTATTTGAAAAAAAACGAATATTTAGGGTAAGAACAGTACGAAAATTAAAATGAAAAAGGCTTAAAGATCAGCTCTCGAATTCGTATTCTTCTGGAAAAAAAAAATGGCGTCTCTAAAAAGAGCTCTTCTCTCTCTGAACAAAACTATGAATCCTTTATTCATGGCTTCTTTATCCACACGAAATCCCCATTCTAGCCTTTACACGCAAGTAAACTTTGCCCTACTATTTATTTATTTATTTTTAGGTTTTACGCCATTACTGCTCAATTTGAGCTTCTTTCTGCCTTTTGAAATGGTGGTTTTAGCAGAGTTCATCAAGGTTCAGTTTCATGGTTCTCTTCGGAGTCTGGCCTTCAAAGTCTCGATCTTTCAAATGAAGAAAGCAGGAGACGTAACGTTAACAGGTTGGACTTCCTGCTATTTGATGGGTTTTGTTTATTTTAGGGTTTAATGATTGTTTCTTTCTATGAGAAAGTGCGGTTTTATTTGCTTATTTTACATATAAATGTTGGGTTTTTGATGGATTTTTCTCTGGCTCTGTAGGTTGTTGTATAGGAGCAAGCAGAGGGGTTTTCTTGAATTGGATTTGGTTCTTGGACGATGGGTTGAAGAAAACATCAAAACAATGGATGAGGCAAATATCAAGGCCCTAGTAGAGGTTCTTGATCTGGTATGGTTACTCTATATTTCCCTACTAAAATTCTGAACATTGAGAACTGGAGGTTGTTTTTTGGAATCGTTTTGAGTTACTTTTTGTCTTTCGAATGTATTAAATTTATTCTTATTTATTTTATGGTTCAAAATTTTGATTTCAATGTCCCTTTGCGCAAGGGATGAAATTGAGTATTGAGGAGAGGTCAGCCATGGAATAATAGAAAAAATGGTTTGAATTTTTTTTACATTTTTTTATTATTTATGATATACCAAATTTCTCTCCAAAGTTTGTTAAGATATGAATATCTCGGATATCTCGGGTTCATATTGATTTACATCATTATGGATGTATGAGTATATATCTCTTGATAAGATTCTTTATCTAGAAGATAAATGTGAAGTTAGTTTGGTGATAAGACCTCCTACTATTTACCTCTATCTCTAAGAATCATACCATATTTATTTTGTAATTGTGTGATTGCCCGCTATAAATAGAGGTACTCATCAATGTAAACATTCATCAAAAATAGTGAACATGTAGCGAGTTGGGCTTTGGATCCGTGGATATAAGGCTTCGGCCTGAACTACGTAAATGTTATATTATCTTCCTCCACCAATTATCAATTCTAACATGGTATCAGAGCGAGGTTCCTCAATCTCAATTGTAGGCTGTGAAATTGCCGAACTCTTATCTGAATCGTAGGCCGTGAGGTTGCCGAACTCTTATCTCAATCGTAGGTCGTGAGGTTGCCGAACTCTTATGTTGCAGGGCCCCTGATCCGTAGAGTGAGAAACACATACCCTCGGTCCTTTTTCTCCCCCAATGGAGGCTACTAGTGAAGGCAACGACGACATTGCTTACCTGAAAGAAAAACGCCAATACTTAGAAGAACGCATCAAAAACCAGAGACTCATCCAAGAAAACCTCATCACTTCTCTACAAACCCTAGTCCCTGACCTTGTCTCTTCTCTCGACCTCTCTCTAAAAGTTCTCTCCACGTTCAACCCGCCTTCTCTCTCTACAAAACCCAAAACACCCAAAACCCTGACACCCCAAGACCCCAAATCCACAACATCTCGCCCCCCTTCCTCTATTCGTGCCCTAGTTTCCCAAATCTTCATTGAATGAAACCCCTTCTCTCCTATTGATTTAATGGCCATCTTACGGAAACTCGAAAACGATCATGTTGTCGTCGAAGTTGGAGGAATCTCAGCTGTTGAGTCTGCATTGAAATCAATCTCGAAATCAACAGGGGCTGTTGACCTTGAGGAATTTATGGTGAGTGGAAAATCTAGCATTATGGTCATGGTGGTGGTCCATAGGGACCATATTAAATCATCCTTTCGACTTTCTCCCTTCTATATCTAGAAGCTCCTTTAGTTGAAAAAAACAAAAAAAAAGGGCCAGTGTTTGGCAGTGGTGAAAAAAAAAAAAGGCCAGTGTCTGGCGGTGGTGAAAAAAAAAAAAAAATTATATTTTGCAAGTTGGGTGTTTCTTCGCATCCACACCCAACTTGAGGGGGAGATTATAGCAGATGATGGAGATGAGATGAGTAGAGATGAAGTCAACATATTTAAGAGATGAGTAAAGATGAAGTCAACATCTCTAATGTAACCGCTATGTGGACAAGAAAATCAAGATCCTGGATCAGTCCAACTAGACTACTATGCAAAGGGAAATTATGGTTGATGATCAAGAATTATCTCTCCAGATGAGGAGATGAAGATAATCGAATTTCTCGATCCTGGTTGACGATGAAGAGTTCCGTCTCCAGATGAGGAGATGAAGATGATCGAATTTCTCGATCATGGTTGATGATTAAGAGTTCCCTCTTCAGATGAGGAGATGAAGATGATCGAATATCTAGTTTTTCGTTACTTGACCCCGTTTGATGATGGAGATTTCCGTTACTCCATCCTGTATGATGATCAAGTTTACTTGATCCTGTTACGCAATTCTATCTGCTGATGGAGTTTTTCGTTGTTCCATCTTGTGTGATGATCCTTTTCTTTAGAGAGAGAAGGCCTCTAGAATCGTTGCTCCATCTTGTGTGATGATCCTTTTCTTTTAGAGAGAGAAAGCCTCTAGAAAGAAAAAAAGCCTCTGAAAGAGAAGATCTTCAGAGAAGAAGACCCTAGAGAGAGAAAATCTCTAGAAGAAAGTAGAGAGCCCAAGAAAGGTTCTTTCTTGGAAGACCCTAAAGAGAGAGTCTCTAGAAGAAAGTAGAGACCCTAAAGAGAGAAAGTCTCTAGAAGAAAGTAGAGAGCCCAACCTTTCTTGAAAGATCATGGTAACCTTTGAAATTTATAATGGATTTGATCACTACTCGTTTTTTTGGTAACTTAGTATTATTGTTCAAACTCCAGTTGCTTTGTGTCAAAGCATCTTGAGTTTGAGGGGGAGTGTTAAGATATGGATATATCGGATATCTTGGGTTCATATTGATATACATCATTATAGATGTATGAGTATATATCTCTTGATAAGATTAGGTATCTAGAAAATAAACGTCAAGTTAGCTTGGTGATAAGGCCTCCTACTATTTACCTCTATCTCCAAAAATAATACCATATTTATCCTGTAATTGTGTGATTGCCCTCTATATATAGAGGTACTCATTGATGTAAACATTCATCCAAAATAGTGAAGATGTAGCTAGTTGGGCTTTGGATCCGTGGACATAAGGCTTCGGCCTGAACCATGTAAATGTTGTCTTCTCTCTTCTTCTTTCTCTATTCTCTATTCTCCATTCTATGCTCCTATGGATTCTAACAAAGTTTACCAAATTCAGACGGTGTCCGCTAGGACAATGCTTGAAAGCTGCTTCTATCTGGAGTTTGTGAAATCTTTGGGAGAGATCATAATATTATTTGAGAGGGGGCCATTTTATTTGACCTTCTCTATTTCTTGGTCAATGATACAAGTATGTGATAATTTCTGATTACTCTTGACCTCTGTGAAACACCTGTTCTTTCTTGCCCATTCACTCCACTCTTCTGGTGAGAAAACCGAATCATTGTCGTCATCATCATCCAAGCCTTATCACACCTATTTGGGGTTCGTGAGGAAACCAAATGGTGCTGAATTTTTTTTCCACTTGCGAAGGGGCAACTCAAAGCCTGAACAACTCGTCCTGTCGTTCTGAAATATATTTCCGAATTATTTTGTCTATTAAATGCCATGTCCTCTCTTTAATAAATGTATACAATGGGTCAATTGAATGTCATATACAATCATAGGAAAACGTGCTTTAATGTTATACACTATTGCACTACTTCAATTGAGAGATTATCTACTCATATGTCATCCTCTTTGAATTGTCTAGTGACCCTTTCATTCTCAGTGTCTAGATACGGAGCCATGAAAATGGCGTCAATGATTCTATACCATGATTCTCGATGAAACTCAGACCTTTGGTTGGGGCTGCCTATCCCTCTTATATGCCAAGATACTATCTTCATGGGCAATTACATTGATCTACCTTAGATACCTCCTTTATTCCCTTACATCTTATGGTTAATTGGAGAGACAAGGTTTTCCTTAACCCTTCTCCCCTACCCTTCCTGGCCTGATTAAACTCCCAAAACCTAGGGGAACAAACATATCAGTTTTCTCTTTCTAAAAGGAATTGCAATATGGCATCAATGAGGCCTTAACCAACTTGATGATGGATTCGTATCTTAAGATTTGGATGGGCACCATGTCTCTAAGGAATTTCAGCATCATTACTTGAGTTATCTATTAATGGATAGTCGTGGCGTTGTAGCATCACTGAACTGGTGGATAACTTGCATGGATAATCATCGCTTAGTGGAATTTGCTTGAATTCTTGAAACGATCTTGGTTGCTACTTACTGGGTGAGTCAAGGGTAGGGTTATGACTGATACCTATGTGGTAGAGTGGTGTTAAACCAACATCATGAGATTCACAGCATTCATGCTTAGATTTTTGAAAAAATGCAACTCTATTATTATTGGATTTATGGTTGTGTGCTTCTTATAATAAATTACTCTAGACTTCATGAATCTTGGAACCCATTTAGGGTGGATGATTACTTTACTGTGCTTTGTAGAGTGCTATTTAATAATAGGGTACCAATATGCTATGTGGAATACCACATATTAACAGGTTCCCTATATTCTATGCGGATTTCCATGGAGAAATAGGTTACACAACGTAATCAATAGGAAAAATAGGGTACAAATGTTGCATATTTGGAGACCGAGAATCCATTAGGTGGTATTGGCAGACTATGAGAAATTTAACATATGACAAAGTATGTTAAATATATAACTATATTCCTTGTGGCCATGGGGATGAATTTGTTGGTTATCTTGAGTACATTTTGGAGTTCTTCTTATGCAAGCTCGACACATTATATATCAGGTCTTCAAAAGTTGAAGGTAGTGTATGGCTTGGTGTTTTATTTTTAATAAAAGGTATCTATCATTTGATTGTTATGTTTATTTGTACTCTCTAGTGGGCTTTAAGTTGAGTGCCTTATTGTTTCTTCCAGCACAGGAGTGTAATTTTAGAGGCTTCCTTGAGATTAGGAGAATATTTGGTATGCTTGAGATGGAAGGTGCATTTAGGGAAAGCACATATGAGGACTTGGGATTAAGTGACTATTATGATTCTCTATATAGTTTCATGGAAAATTGTAATTTGCCTCTATAAGATTTATGATTGGCATAACTTTAGGAGTTACAGATAAAGTAATTTCTATTCCCTTAGAACAATTTTATGTTTTTCTTGTTCTTTCTGCTTATTATTCCTATCTAACTCTTGAGTCTGCAAACTGAGTTCATCCTTACACCTCCAGGATCGATCTAAGTTGTCCTCCCTAAATTACAGATATGATAGGCATGCTGTGGTCACAGTGGCTATGATAAACTATACATAAAGTGCTATCCATGGTCCATCCTTTATGATGAATGGTGGAGATGAGCGGTTGTTCCCTTTGAAAGTTCTCTGTTGCTCTTAGTGGAAGAATGGATTATTTCATCTTTGTCATTGTGTATGGACTTTGGATAGCCATTCGCGCAAGGTACACAGGGCAACAATGTGTTTTTTTATCGGTTCTATATACACGCTATGCGTGGTATACAGCCGTTGAGGAAACGAGTGAACTCTGTGGCATTGAAGGAATTTGTAGGAAGAATTGCAAATGTCTCTGTATGCGGGGATTTTTCTAAGGCATAAGGAGGCCAGTGTCTCTTTATAACCTGGCATTCGGTAAATGCAAATTTAATAGCTAATTAGCTCCGTTATCCTCATTGTGGTTGATTGCGACAGGAAGATTTTAATTATGATCGATGCTCCTTGACTTTATATTAAAACATTGTATAAGTGCATCCATCCCATCCCAAGTTCTTGTTAGGTATGACACATGGTAGGGATGATTTTCGTGATGGAAGAGATAAGTCGATATTATGTGGTCTCTCTTCCTCCCAATTTTACCCAATTCCAGCTTGCAAGTATCTGAGCTTGTGGATGACTAAATAGTGACATTTATTCCATCTTGTAAACTGCTGCTAGTAGTGCATAGCGCTGGTTGAGCTAATGATTATGTAATATGTAGGGTGACACTCATCATTTTGTTCTTTGTTTTTCATCAAATTTTTTATTTTTTATTGCTTTGGAAAACAGAGAAATCTGGTCAATTAGTCCCAATCCTGTCTTCTATGAGCAAATGTTGCTGGTGATAATGAAAATCAGTCCAATTATGTGCATTTTATACCCCACGAAGAGGACTTCCTCACAATGATCACTTCAGCAACTAGATGTCAAAGTTGCCCTCTGCTTTTATACCCCATGAAGAGGATTTCCTCACAATGATCACTTAAGCAACTAGATGTAGAAGTTGCTCTCTGCCATATCATTCAGAAGTATACATGAATCTTTGCAATGTTTTTATGTTGCTGAAACCTTGAATGTCATTTTCTATGTCAAGAAAGAGGTCTATTGTAAGTTTGAACCCATAGCTTAATACATCAAATCTCATCACCTGTGGCTGGCTAGGCTGTACCTACTTGTCTGTGCCTACTAGTCACACAGGAACTTCTGTACTTGTCTATGATGATGATATAGACATAATAAAAAAACCAGAAGCAGTTGGTTTAGAAATTGAAGGCCTGTATGGATGGTTGTGGTTGACAAAAACCTAGGTGAATAAAGGCTCCAAATGTTTACTGGAGTAATGGGCCATATAATGTGGCTAATTAAATCTGTTATAGATACAAAAATTACAAATGTATGACCACTTCACGAATTGTAGCTAATACTGCCAGATTGTACACTTGGGAAACCCCAAAAGAACTGAGGGAAGAGAAAGGATTGGTGTGTGTGTATTGTTTATTTATTTATTTATTTATTTTGGGGGGGGGGGGAGGGGGGGGGGGGGTACGAGGAGTTGCTGTTGTCGGGGTAGAAGCGGCCCTTTGAAGGCGTGGAGGTAGGGAAGCTACAACAAACGTTGGGGGCAGGGTGCCCTCTTTCTCTAGTACATCTGCTGCGGCATTGGTCTCTCTCCAGAGGTGCTTGAAAGCTACTTGAAGAGGCCCCATGTTATTGAATATTTGGTCCAAAATGGATTTCAGATGCCATGGGCATGGGAACACCTTTGAGGCCCAAGCTATGACAGTTTTGGCAATCACTTTCCACATGTAGACTGGGGCGCAAAGTGCTATTGAATAGTTTCAGGCCCTCTAAGAGAATGTGGGCCTTGGCCGTCACAGAGCCACTTCATTCGAGTCTGGATAGGAGCACAAAAGATTATCCAAGCTATTTTTTAAAGACCTCCTACTCCTGTTGGACCAGGGTTACTGAGACAGCAAACATATAAGTTCAACTTGGTAGTCTTATTTGACAAGGTATCGAAGTATTGCTCTATTGACAGTTGGAAATTTAAATTTCCACTGTTACAAACTGGATATCACCTTTCGTGTGGGGTATTCAGGGAATGCTTGAAGGTATATCTTCAACGTTCATGGCTCCACAAACTCAACACTAGAAAGTTGAGTATTCTAAATATTAAGCTCAAATTGGATGTCTGGATAATCTCGTGCTGATTGGACCAAGTGCAAGTGTTTAGGAGTACTGGGCAATATAATGTGGCTAACTTTCATTTTTTGTAAGCAACTGGAGTTGACAATTTTCATGTCTAGCTTAAATGGGTGCGCAAAAGAAAATAATAATAAAAAGAAGCTTGCAATATCCTTTGTATTTGTATCCATATCAGGGTCATAGTACCTTTTTATTCGTTTTCTTTTTCTTTTGTGTCAATAAAATTTCATTACTAAAAAGGAAGAAATGAAATTAAGTGAAATGAAAAAGATAAAATGGATAACAGATTCTATCTTAGCTACCCTACTCATAGTCGACAAGAAGATTCTCCAACCCAACCGCATCAGTGGCCAGAATGTCAGCCTCAACATTCGCCACCATTGAAGACCCATCCTTGTTGTACAAAAGATAGCAAATGTATTAAAAAATTATTGGCTAGTCTCCATTGGATGATAGTCTCCTCACAAGCTCATTTAATCACATTCTAACAATAGTCTCAACTGTCTAGAGCAATAGGGAGCCTCACATATGGGGACAAAACCTCAGCCCATAGAGCCGTGAGTTCACCTCTTCATGCAGTGAACCACAGAAAGCTAAAAACAGTAGGATCTCATTTTCATCGTCATTGAATCCTCCTAGCCCAGGGGTCACCTTTCAAGCACCTGCCAATTTTAAATGATTGGATTCAATCCTAATATACCCCGGTCGAAAACCCATTTGCATAAAGAGCTGCAAATGAATGTCTTGGGAAATTATCTTTGATGAGCACAATTTGCAGACGAGGATGGTGGCATGCCAGTTATCTGCTGGATCCTACTTTATTTTCATGGGAGGAAATGACTCTTAGCGAATGTTGGTAACTTATAGGCAGATCCTGTACTTTAAATATTTTCGGTGGCATTAAGTAATAAATGGTATCTAGACTCTACGACTGATCTCCATGAATGAATTTCAAATACGGATAAAATTGGAACTATTAGAGCACCCTAATAGCTTCTTGTAGTGAAACACTCTCCTAATATTTGTGATCATATGCCTATTTTACCATCTCAGGGTTAAAATTAAAAGCTATGCATTCTTTTATAAACAAGATTCTCCTTTCCACAGCCTCCTCAACAGTCCGTTTCATACTCATTTTTGCTGGCCCTTGCAGGAGAACCCAGACCTATGGAAGTGGCTCACTGGTCAGGAGCAACCTCCAGATGAAGTGAACAGAAATCCGGTACATAAAAGAATTTATGTACATGCACACACAAATGTGTGCATGCATGCACACCCATCAGTGAGACACAGATAAACTCACACACATGTATATGCATAATGTGATACCCATGTATACACACATTCTTAGAGGGAGGGAGGGAGGGAGGCAGGGATTGATGAGGCACTAAGCTATTCATGCTTCATGCAGGTGTTCTCAGCTGTTCATACCAAGATTTCCGGGAATTTGAAGAGCTATGCATCCGCTGAGACACGAGCAGCACCTGGGCAGCCATGGGTAAGAGGATGGGACGACAAAAGAGGCCTTGGAACCACACCATTTGGAAACCAATAAAATTCATCTGCCCTTCATCGAGAATGTTATAATTACACAAACATAACACATTAATAACAGCACCAAGCATTTTCTTGGCTAGTGTGATTTATGTAAAATAATAAGCCCAATCCTGTAGCTCTTTTGGTTTTTTGTTCTTTGTTTGTGTGGTAATATTTGCTTCCTTTTTTTTTAAAAAAAGAAAAACATGCTGAGTACATATCATAGTTTTATCATTGCTGTCGTTATCGATGTTCGTCTGTTATTTACACCTCTTTTCTCTTTCTATACATAATACTACTCGTTTCTTTTATTCTAGGTTTTTGCTTTCCTAATATTTGGTTCCTTTATGGATCTCTCCATGGAATTGTGGTGGGTTTTTACCTTTAGGACTCTCTCTCTACATGGCGCTTTGCCATCCTTGTCCCTCCCTCTTGTTCTCCCCTCTACTTTGAACATCAGAGACCTAGTTCCAGATTCTCTTTCTACATATCACCATTTCATTTTGAATTCCATTTTTCTCTCACTTACATACCCAGATGCTTTGCAATTTCCTGCTCTCTTTGACCACAAACAACCTAATGAAAAAAGATGCTCCTTTTTATTCTAATTCCAATTCTCCATTGCTCCAAGTGTCAGTTGACTGTAAAGGGCTTTCATGGCAGCAAAACTTTAAGAACCGCAAAGCTGAAATGGGTTTCTGGTCTCAAAAATGGTGGACACCCTGTTATTTGTTTAGATGATGAATTGTTGACAATGGGGAAGTAAGAAATGGCTTTTTTAGGCACTGCTGTGACAGATAAAAGGGTACATGTCCTGTTATGGCAACTTTATCAGCTAAGAGCTAACACAACACTCATTTCCGGACACATTTACTTGGGTTGAGGCTCAATTTGTGAATTTTTTCTTTTTTTTTTTTGTAGATAGGGAGGGGGATTTTCTGTTGTTGGTTAATTTGGGGCGACACTTTGTTCTCACTCCTCGTTGTTCTAATTTGACAACATTGAGGGCTCTATTCCATGGAATTGGCTATGCGTTGTATTTGGTGCGTTTAGAGTTTAGTCTTGTTGTGTTTATATGATGCAACGGGAGTTCGTTGTCACACAGGCATGCAAGCTGCAGCTTGAATTCTTAGTTTTGATTTTTATTTTGTGATCTACGTTTGAGTTTGATGCTTCGAGCACATTTGTTAAAGAGAATCTCTTTCAGGAGAGTTCTCTCGTGGAGAGATATTTCTGAGAGATGGGAAATCAGTTTCATACCTTACTGGAGAAATTCCCGGTCAGTTTTCAAGCAGTGTAGTTCGTCATGTATCATTTGCTCAAAAGAATTTCTATGTTGCAATATCCACCAGTTTAACCTCATGTTCTACTCTTTTAACAGTAAAGTTTCCCAGTAACTGTCTTTTTTGGTTCATTACCTGAATCATTTGGCCTTGAACACTCAAAGAAACCTCAACTTATCAGGAAATGAAACTAATTGGAGACATTCCATCTGGGATAGGGAGTTTGATGAACCTGAGAAGTGAGAACAATTAATTTGCAGAAGAGATAGAGCTTCAGAGATAGAGGAGAGAGAGAGAGAGAGAGGAATAGGGGTTGAGGAGAGAGGAATAGGAGTTTTGAGGGGCATGTTGGTAGAGAGAGAGACAGAGAGATTTTCTTTTTGGTGATATGATCATAACAGGTTCTCCATTTTTTGAATATGAAATGGTCCCTCCATTTTTTCTGTCAATAATCAGAGAAAGCATTACAGAAGAATTTGTCAATGCTTCTGTTGATTATCTGTAATTATTTAATTATGGGAAAAGTTTATATACAGTCGAGGCTCTAAACAATCAAATTTGAGCCTATCTCAAACATTTCACTAGAATAGGTTGTTTTGATGTCCAAATATCCTCAAATTGATGATCTCGACGTCAGGATGCATGGACATGAGAAAAACATGGATTTCAAGTTTTGGAAATAGTGTATTTTGTAATGCATTTTTGGATCGTCAATTTTCAAGATTTTCAAGTTTTCATAGATCTATCAATCTACACTATTTTTAAGATTTAAACTTTATAAATAAAGATGAAAATATATTTTAAAGCTATCAAAAATATTTTCAGTATTGCAACTGCATTTCTCAAAAGTATTTGAAGATAGGCTCTAATTTAATTGTTTAGAGCCTAGGCTCTCTACAAACCGCACCCTTTAATTATTAGAACCTCACATATGTTGGATTCATCCCTATATATTCCTATTTAATTGAATTTATTCCAGTTTTGAGCACTTGATATTAAAATGGGTTTTCGTCAGAAAAATAATTGTGCAAATCTTGTAGAGGGATCAAAGAGGAAAATTTTGTGACAAATGTCATGCAAAATAAATGGATGGTGATATGAGGAAAAACAAGATTAAAGGGGAGATTTTTTGGGGAAAAAAAGCGTTAAATAATTGTCAAAAAGTTAAAAGAAAAAGAATATAAATAGATTTAATAAAAAGATTTGAACTGCATTTGATTTGAAGTTCTGGGGTGTTTTTAATTTCAAACGGACTGAGCTGGTTTGGTTTCTGCTCAAATAGGAATCCAACCAGTCCGATTTCAAATATTTTGAAATCAGAGCCCAAAAAATGTTTTTTTTTAAATTCAAAATAGGTTAAATTGGTTTGATCCAGTTTTAAGTTGGGGAAAATCAAAACAAATATAATGTGAGGAAAAATGAAAATAGTTAAAACAAATTTAGTCTAAAATACATACTTGTTTTTAAATCACAAACAAATTTAGTCTAAAATATATTCTTGTTTTTAAATCACTAGAGAGAAAACCCAAAATTTCAACTTTGATTTTGTTGATAAGGGTTTTATTCCGAAAAATCTTGTTATGCATTAAAATCAAAAGACAAACCAAATGGGTAGATATTGAGAAATGGGCGGTTGGATAGGAGAAGTATATAATTTTTATACATGGTAAGCTTTCTATACTTCTCCTACAACATAAAACTTTTATACTTCTCTTTATCCAACCGTCCATTCTGAATGGAGGGCTAAGATGGCTCCAATCACAATGTCATGTCTTTACACTATTTTATTTTTCATTTTTGTTATAAACTATTTTGACACCAAATTTTGTATGCCCAATCCTCTATTAAACTCGTACTAGCGAAAAAATATAAAACAATATTTCTAATAAAATAAAATGACCAAAATACCTTTAAAAGTTTTAAGGGGTATTTTGGTCATTATATTTTATCAAAAATTTATTTTTAATATTTTTTATAGGTGCGCCCCAATGAGAAGATGGTATGTACCAAATTTCATACTCAAACAATTTGTATATAAAAAAAAAAAAACTTTGAGATATCGGATCTAAGATCAAATGGTGAGTGGTTCTCTTGATCAAAATTGGACGGTTCGATGGTAGGGGAAGCATAGATGTTTTATGCTATAGGAGAAGTATAGAAACCTTTTCCTTTATACATCAGGGGAAGTATATGAGTTTTATACTTTAGGGGAAGTACAAGGGGGAGTATATAGTTTATACATTAGGGGAAGTACAGGGGAAAGTATATGAGTTTTATACATTAGGGGAAGTACAGGGGAAATATATGAGTTTTTATACATTAAGAAGTATATGCGTTTTATACATTAGGGGAAGTACAGGGGGGAAGTATATGAGTTTTATACATTATGGAAAGCTTGCGATTATGTTTTAAAGAAAATTTGGAACTTTTGAGTTTTTCAAAAGATCAAAATCACGTTTATTTATAAAACCCACGTAGAAGCTATTTTTATATTTTTTTCTACATATTTGGACGTCAAATAAAAAAAAATTATTATTCAATAAAAATACAGTTTTTCAAATACCAATTGCAAAAAATACCTAGTCTTTTTTCTTTTCTTATAAAGTCATTTGGGTGTTAAAATCTATTTCTATTTTTGTTTCGGCGATTCTCTCACTCAACAAGAAAGGTATAACTACGCATTAATGCTTTCTCTCTCACTCACCTTGCTGCATGTTTCTTTCTGTAACATTGATACAACCACAAATCCACGAGCAAAAGAATTGAGCAAACCGTAATGGTAAATTAAATATCTCCTTGCTTCTCTCTTCTGTTATCCCTTTTAACAAGAGACTCAAGCTAACAAACCCTAACGGTAAATTAAAGATCTCATTGCTTCCTTCTTCTCTTCTCCCCTTTAGCAAGAGACTCAAGCTTTTGTTATTGTTGTTCTTTTTCTCTGCCTTATTTGAGCTTCCTCTTTTACCTCTATTTTGGAGGTATGATGAGAGTATGCCTGTGGTTTTAAAAAAAAAAAGAGAGAAAGATGGGAGAGGAGCTTAGTCATTCTCGAGAGAAACAAACAGGCTTTATTCTAGCCTGCTATGGAACTTCAGTGAGAAAACAGAAATTCGAGTGGCTGTCTCCTTCAAAATTTCTTTGTGATAGTTGATTTTCCTTTGAAGATGTTGGGTCTAAGTAGTTTAGAAAGAGATAGTAGAATTGGGGTTTATGAGGAAGAGAGAGAGAGAGTAGATTTGAGGTTTTTGAAGAGAAAGAGAGTAGGTTTGGGGTTTTTGAAGAGAGAGAGTAGATTTAAGGTTTCTGAGGTAGAGAGATAGTAGATTTGAGGTTTATGAGGTAGAGAGAGACTAAATTTGGGGTTTATGAGGTAGAGAAAGAGATAGAGTCAATTTGGGGTTTCTGAGGTTTCACGGTGTGGGTTGTTGGGTCACAAGATGGGGTTTGCACGGGGTGAGAGAGCGGCACTTTCATAAAAAAAATTCAAGTCTGATATGAATTTTTGTTTATGGTAACGTTTTCCTTGATACTGCGAAGTTTTTTATTTCAATATAAAAATTAGTAAAATATTGTGGTTCCAAACGGTTCAAATCTATTTCCCAAGATTTTTAGATTGCAATAAAAAAATATTGCAATTTTAGGTACATCCAAACTAGCTTAAAATCCAAAGCCCCATATTTCTACATATACGAGCTTGGCCGCATTTCAAACCGGGTTCATGGTTGCAACCAATGGTTTAAAAAGCGGATCGGTGACCCGGATCGGGCTCCCAAAAAACCGATCCGGATCGGCAAATCGGCGATCCGAATCGAGAATCGGGTGAATCAGTTAGAATAAAGCTTAAAAGAAATCCGAAAAAAATATTAAAATTCATTATAAATATTTTTTTTTAGGAATTCAATAAAAAATGAGGGTACACCATTAAGAATTTTCATGTTTTTGAATGAATATACGAATATTGATATGTTCTTTCCCTGCAT